GGGGTGCAGCTCGCATGCTCCCTCCTCGCCGGCCATGGGCGCGCCGCGCCGCGGAGATGCCGCTCCTCCTCACTCTCCGCCCGACTCCGGCCCCGCTACCCCAGCAGCCGCAGCCCCGCGGCTGGCAGCGGCGTCGCCCCCGCGAGCTCCGGGAGGAGGGCGGCGCGGGACCCGGCGGCGGGCATGCTGCGGGCGCAGGGCCGGGGCGCGGCCGGGAGGAGGGGGCGGCGGCGCCTCCTTGTCTCCGCTTCCCGGGGCTCCGGCGGGAGCGCGAGCGCCGCGTCCCCGGCGCTGGGAGGGCGCGATCGGGAAACAGCAGCGCCGCCCGCCCGAGCCGCCCCCACGTGACCGGCGGAGGCGCCGCGTGTTCCCGGCACCGCCCCTGGGGCGGGGGCTGCGGGAGGGCGCGGTGCGGCCCGGGCGCCCAGTGGGGTGCGGGCCGCGCATCCACCGCGCTGGGCTGGGAGGCCGCCCTTGCTGCGGATCTGGGCTCCGGGGCTCCGGGGCTCTCTGGGTTGGGTCCGCCTGCGCCAGGCTCTTTGTCGGCCCTGAGTCTCTAAGGACTTTTTTCCCGTCTCCCCTAATGTGCCGATCGGCCGGTTTCCCTATCTCACCCTTACCCTGCTTCTTACGTCTCTGCCTACGTCGCCGGAATGGAACTGGCAGAACTCGGGGGCCCGGGTGTCATCGTAGGAGCTTAGGACCAGAGTGTGGTTGAACAAAGGAGGATGGCAGGCGACCATTCATTCATTTGGTAAACACAGGGTTTATGGAGGCCCTAGTGACCCACCAGAACAGACGTTCCCCACCCCCCACCCCCCACTGTCCCGGGAAAGGCTTTGAGCAGGCGCCCCCTCCAGCCTACTGAGGGTCGTGGGGTGCGGGCAATGTTAGGTGTTTTGTCCGTGGTATTCGGTTTCCCTTCACAACAACCCCAAGGGACAATTGGCCCATCCCCAATAGCACAGTACCTGTTGCTCTGTGGATTTAAGAAAAGGGCAGCTGTTTCCATCACCATTCACAGCACGGAGCTCAAACTTTAAGGCTTAATTTTTAGGCCGCTGTGGGGAAATATTTTTTGAGTCCAGACCTACACAAAGTCCATCATTTCTTCCTAACTTAGGAAAGCCTGGAACCCTATATCAAGACTCCAACATCACCTCCATCACTGCCTTCAGGTTGATTGATAAGGACACAAATAGTGTTCAGGAAACCAGAAATGAATTAACTGGGGAAACGCACCGTTTGACACACTGGGGCGCTACCCCACTGACAACTGTGGCTGTCGTTTGGTACCCACATTCAGTACGGTTATTTGAGGAGTTTTTCTCTTCAAAGAGAGCAGCTGAGCATCTGAGGCTGGAAATTGGCTCCAGAAGTTATCAAACCTTTCCAGTACATTCTGTAAGTAAAGATGTTCCTAGGCTCTGTTGGGTCTCAGAGGCTCCCTGGCCACCGGTGAAATGCGGACAAGTTAATGGGAGAGCTAAGGTATGCTCACTCTGAAGGACTTACTGGGAGTTCAGATTGTCCACTGTACCCTCACCCATCCATTGTCCCTCCTAGAGAGGATCAGAATTTTACAAGAAATATTCTAGGCTCCGAGCCTGGGGCTCAAGCGTCTAAGGTGCCAGCCACATACATCTGAGCTGACGGGTTTGAATCCAGCCCAGGCCCCCAAACAATGATGGCTACAACCAAAAAATAGCCAGGCGGTTTGGCAGGTGCCCGTAGTCCCAGCCACTTGGAAGGCAGAGGCAGGAGAATCTCTTGAGCCCAGGAGTTGGAGGCTGCTGTGAGCTGTGATGCCACAGCACTCTACCCAGAGGGAAGCTTGAGGCTCTGTCTCAAAAAAAAAGAAAGAAAGAAAGAAAGAAATATTCTAAGTTATCTAGGGTGACCTTAGGAGGAAACAGGCTCTGACATAAGTGACTTCCCAATTGTCCATCAAGGTAAAGAGTAGAGCAAGTTCTCCTAACTCCCCAGGTAGAATTTATCCCCTCAGAGCCTCACCCCCTCTTTGTTCTTGACCTAAACCCCACATCCTCCACCCGTCAGCCTCTTCTACCACAAACCTGAACCTCAGCCTGGGTGAAGAATCCAGAGAAGGTATCTGCTCCCTAAATGGTTAAATGTAAGTCCTAAAGCAGTTAGAATTATATCTAAATACCATGCCGTAAACTGTTCTCTTTTAGAAGCCATCGGGAAATTATACTTCCATTGTAAATGGCTTTTGAAAACTGTACTCTTCCTTTGTCAAGAGATAATCTGTAATTTGCTTTATCTAATAAAAAAAAAAAAAAGAACTAAATAGGACCAGAAAATACCCCAAGCTGGGCTTTTTCCTCCCAAAGCCTAACGTGAATGAGTCGGCTCTGCGGGAAGAATTTTTTCTGCCTGCCGTGTGCTAGTGTAGCCAGCATGGTAAGAAGAAGCCTTGCAAAAAGCCTCATCCAGCAGTTCTCTGAAAGTCACTGTGTCAAAAACTAGCAAGTCAAATCACAAGAACTCAATGATGAAATAAAACTCCAGGGGAAGAAATTGTGTTCAGTCTGGTTCTTCTATCTAGGCGAGAAAAACTCCTGCCTTGGGCACCCAATCTGGCCCTCTTCTTGCCATGCCAAATCCCTTGTGCCTAAGTTTCTGAAGGGCCAAGAGGACATGTCCCTCCACCTTGGTGGTATAAATTCTCAGTACAGACAGTTGGTTAGAGAGTCGTAGGGAAGTCCTTCACAGCCACTCAAAGGGAGTTGCTGTCGTTTACATCCCTAGGCTTTGGGGGTGTGCACCAAGCTCAAGCCTATCTGTGTGCCACACAGCTCCTCTCTGTGCTGGGCGGGATCCAGGTTGGGCTGAGAAGGGGTGTGGGTGTGCCACATTTGTTAGCCTGATGCTGCACGTTTAAATGTTTAGTCACGCGGCATATGGGCCTCCATTTGTACCCTTGCCCCAGGCCCTGCAAGGGATGGGGGTGGCCCCACAAATGCTGGATTTTCCTAAAAGAAAGCAATCCACCCATCCATCTATCCATTCCCGTTTGGAGAAGAGGAACTGTAAATATTGGAAGTTTTCTTGCCTTAGCAATGTATTCAATGTCATGGATCTAATCTGTAAATGTCCAGACCCTTTTCAATTTAGGCCTTTTAATTGATCTTGTCTTTGTTACTCTTAGAATGTTTTCTCTTTAGGCTCGGCGCCTGTGGCTGAAGTGGCTAAGGCGCCAGCTACATACACCTAAGGTCACAGGTTCGAATCCAGCCTGGCCCGCCAAACAACAATGACAGCTGCAACCAAAAAATGGCCTGGGCTCAGCGCCTATAGCTCAACCGGCTAAGGCGCCAGCCACGTACACCTAAGGTGGGGGGTTCGAATCCCCAGCCCGGACCGCCAAACAACAGTGACGGCTGCAACCAAAAAATAGCTGGGCATTGTGGCAGGCGCCTATGGTCCCAGCTACTTGGGAGGCTGAGGCAGGAGACTCGCTTGAGCCCAGGAGTTGGAGATTGCTGTGAGTTGTAATGCCAGGGCGCT